GAGGGAGGGGGAGGCGAGGCAGGGGGAGGAGAGCGAGCGAGCTGCCACCTCGGCTCTGTTGTCTGTCTTAGCCCCACTTAGCCCGACTGTTAAGGAGATTCCGAGGCAATTAGGCTCCGGGGAAGCCATCCATCTCCATAAGCATCCCTCCAGCTCTCTCCTCCTTGAAACAACAGATAGAGTTTCACTGGTGGCGGCCGGGCTCCCAGAGGGCTCGCTGATAAAAAGCCACTTCTCCCAAACAGCCAAACCACGTCCCTCTCATCTTCCCAGCCGCCAGGTCAGGTTTCCCTGGAGGGGACAGAGGCCCGAGGCGGGAGGCGGGAGGAGGCCGGTCGGCCAGGGTGGGCCTGCCCTCACCAGGCTACCGGGCAGTGCAGGGTTCAGGCCCAGAGGTCAATGGTAAGGCTATGGGTCAGAGATCATTTCGTGGCCTCCGTGAATGGGACAGAACACCTCTGAGAGACGGCCGTCAAACCTCTGCTTGGTTGCCACTAGCGACAGGGGGCTCACTACCTATCAAAGCCAGCACCTGCCCTGCAGCACGGACGCCCCCTGTAAACACGTTCTCCAGCCTCTTCCTTCATACTCCCTCCATGTGTGTCTGGATGCCTCTGACACACACCTCACATACATGTGCTCACACACGTGCTCACACAGGTATCACGAATTCCCGCATCACTTAGAAGGACACAGGCTCAGAGACGGTGGCAGCCCACGCAGGGCCACAACCCAGAATCAAACCGTGAACTCCTGGTTCATAGGTCAACGCTCAACCACTGAGCCACGCCGGCCGGACTCTAGTAGACTTTTCCACGTGCTGATCCCTGTCATGTCACGGGTGCCCACACGCACTGTCACCGCCTCCTCAAGGAGGTCCGGCTGTGGCCCGAGCCCTCAGGCTGCGCAGGGCAGGGGCAGGGGCAGGGCAGCCGACGGGACCGGCCGTCCACAGGGCACAGCGCCTCCTCCTTTATGGCAGCGTCGAGCAGGGGGACTCCATCCATCACTCAGGCCCGGGGGAGGCGCGGTGGCTCAGACCTGGATAGGCGGCTGACCTGGGCCCTGGCCTGGCACCCCGATGCCCGTGGGTGTGCCAGACATGCCAGGGGACCCCTTCCTAAGGCCTCACGTACGTGTCTAATCACAGTGTTGTGCGCCCGAAACTAATACACTATTGTGTGTCCTCTGTGATGGGAGAATAATTAAAACACACACACACACACACACACACACAC